GACACATCTGTCGATGACATAATACCGTTCGGAATTTGCACTCATATGGAATAATATTCATAGAAAATATAAGGTCTGGTGGGAAATCAATCATAATCAGGATTGGTGAGACACAAAATAGTAAACAAGAAAGATAAATGAATTAAACAAATCACACATACACACAAAGAACACAATGATTTACATGATTCACCGGAGAATAAGGCTACTGTTATGGTTTTTACTATGATCAGAAAACAATACAACTCTCTTACACAAAAGAGGCATCTCCTTCATCTATTTATAAGTATAAAATTAGGGCAATATGGAATCAATAGGAAATTACCAAAGTAGCCAAGAAATTACCCCCTTGCACCTCCTTCCCTTCGAGGGAGGCCCCTAACCCCATTGGACTCAGGGCCTAGTGAACAGTACTTATCAGGATTTATAGACCTAACAAGGTCAAGAGAGAACATTGTGGATTCGTTGACTAAAGGGCTAGCTAGAGAGCAAGTGTACAATTTATCGAGGGGAATGGTATTAAAGTCTGCTAATTAAAAGTCGCCATAATGGTAACCCAACATAGCTGACTGGAGATCCTAAAATCTAGGTTCAAAGGGAAAATCAAATTATAAATGACTTCCTGTATCATTAAGGAGATTCTCTCATGTTCATTTTTATGATAAGAAGAGTTAAACATGCAAAGTTAGTAGGATAAGCTTTTCTTTTAATGATTACTTATGTATTGCACATCCAAGTGGAATATAGTAGGATACTCTTATCAAGAAGTCACTTCTATGAGTGTGAACTGGGTTGGTTCTATAAGAATTGAGAAGGCTAAATTCTCTAGAGCACTCATGAATTACCAAGTGTTGTTCAAAGCCAAAATGAACACAATTGTGAGAAACAAACTATGTTTGGAGATACTCTGTGTCTAGTCTATTGTCATGGCTTACACCAACAGCTGAACAATTCAAGGCATCACATCCACTAAGTAGCCAGCAAGTTCGATAGGCTTTCACTAGGGAAAGTTCAAAGCTAAAAGGTACCTATCTCAATGTAGCGTATTTTCTTTATGTATCCACTTTATTTGCATGTTGTTGCATGTTCTTTGAGTAAAATATAGATGGGTCCCAGTTACTATTTTGTAGGTTTGAGTGGTGATGTGTTTTATACCTTTTGGTGATTAATGTCATGCAATTGGTTCGAAAAAACCATTTACAAGTGAATTGGAAATCAACTCCAAAGCGAGCTTCGTGGAAATGGAGTTTTGATGGGTTTTCTACACATTGGTGATATAGGCTTGTGCCACATAGGAAAGACATGGAAACTTATATGTGTATATAAGATTCAACTTTGAGATTTGGGTTTTGACCCTTAGGGCATGTAAGTTTTGTAAGGAGGAGAGTTATGGACAAAGTGGGCTTGGATCCAAATTACCAAACACACATGTGCACACCAAATCGAGCTGTGCCGAGCACAGATATGGGTGTGTGGTGCAGGTTGTGGGCTTATGGGTCAGGTTGATCTATATTATATTTTTTGGACAAAAAAATTGAATTTTTTCAAAATTTTTTGCGTAAATTTCAAATTTGTTTGTGCCAAAATTTGAATTCAAATTTGAATTTTGAATTTTTCAATCGTCTCGTTTTTGAACGGCTACGTTTTCTTGTCATGTCTTTTTGGCCAACTCTGAACATCCACCAAGGCACCTTGGGGGCTATAAATAGCTTTCCCATTCTAGCAATCCATTCCATTCCATTTTCGAATTTCTCCTTCTTTTCTTCTTCACTCTCTTTTGCTTCTACATATTCTGCAAGTTAGAGATTTGGAACTTCTCTTAGAAGAGAGAGTTATAACACTGGGTATGATTTGTCGGGCTTGAAGTTGTAGTACTGCAACTTTGAGTATAATCGTTGTATCTTGAGAAGTAGACACCAATAAAACTCAAAGCACCTGAGTGGGAGCGAAATCTGCTTCAAGAAAATTGTGTCCAACACAAGTCTCGACATTAATTTTTGAAAGCTTTTAATTTAGAAGAAAATAATTTATATAATTATTTTTCTGAATTATTTTATTTTATTGTTTATTTAATTTATACATTTAATTTACACACATTTTAAATTAAATAAACAATAAAATAAAATTGTCAATTTATTGTTTATTAATGATTTCTTTTATTAAATTGACAATTTTATCTTTAAAATTAAGTAATAATATTTTTAATTACCATTATTTAAAATAAGATTAAAAATTAAATGTGTTACAATTAAAAAGGACGAAAATAATGGGGTATTTTGGGAAGATGGTAAAAAGTGACTCTTTGACTTTTAATTAAGTTTTTAGCTTTTTTAGACAAGCGATTTGGGAAATTGATAAAAAAGTTACTTTCCACTTTTTTAATTAATATTTGTTTATGATATCAAATTATAATAAAATGACCAAACTATCCTTATTCAATTTAAAATATTTATAATTTTATCTATATAACATATCTTGACCCATGAGAGATAGAATTGTAATTTTACCAGTGACTAAAAACCAACTTTTCAAATGAAAAAAATATAAAAAAGTCAACTTTTGACTTTTGCTACAAACCTAAAAAAGTGAAAAAAAAAAAAAAACTTCTAACTTTTATTACAAATTAAAAAAAGTGACTAAAAATCAAGGACCCAAAATAGGCCGATATAACCTTAACCACTAGTCCTAAAAATAAAAAATAAAAATAGGGGACTGGAAAGAATTTTCTTACAGCCCATTTCATCGTACCAAACCTGCTCTGAGAGAGTCTTCCACTTTTCATAGTTGGGCGTGTCTGATCAAGAACCAGAGAGGTTTTAGCTACGAGCCCCAGACCGAGAAACGAAGAAACTAGGTTTTTTCGAACAATTTGGAATCCATCGATCGAACAAAGATACGAAAGAAATGGAAAATGCTTCATCAGGTTCATTATCATCATTAACAGGCAAAAAACGTCAAAGAGAGGAAGAGACTGTATCAGGAGGCAGCGAAGAACATGACCACTCTGATCAATCCCTTTCACTCGGTCTATGCTTTCTCTCTCTCTCCCTCTCTCTCTCTCTCTCTCTCAATTGCTGTACAATGCTTTTTTTTTTTCAATTTGAATTGTTGATTAACAAAGAGAGTTTTATCTATACGCAGAAGATAATTTGACTTTTAGCGATACTTTGGTCGCTCTTCGCATAATGCGTGCTCAATTTCCTCATCTCGATAAGGTTTGGCTTTCATGTATTTTTTAATTTTAATTTTATTGTTTCTTGCCCATGATTACACACACGAATGCACTACATATGTAACATACATTTATTTTTATGTTTTCATATATGCAATGATGCAATTTGCAAAAAACTCATGTCTTGTAATAAGAATATGAATTTGCTTCTGTCCATATAGGAAGTTGTTTTTGAAATTGGTGTTTTCTGCTCTGAGTGCGTGTGCGTGTGAGTTTATGAAACTGAATCTGTTATTTGTGGGCCAAAATTGGTAACGAAAATAGCGGAGTTCACACCAACTTGGGTGCTCACATTTTGTATAAAAGAATAGATTTTTAGAAAGAAAAGTTGAATAAGTTTATGTAAATATGTATATTACATTGTACCCTACTAGTTACCTTTGGAATTTTTTTTTATATGCTGAAAGTATGGACCAACTTTCTATTAGTTTTACTTCTTGCTAAAATGCTGGTGGCCACATTGGCATAATCAAGAAATTGTTGTAATTGTTGGCTGTCAAAAATGTTTAGCCAACGGCATGCTGGTTGAGAAGTATAATGATTTGACCCCAAGAGACTTTGCTGACAAGGGGTTATCGTCCAAATTTGAGGATTTTATTTTTATTGGTTTGGAAATAAATTAGAAAAATACTTGAAATTCTTTATGTTTTCCCCGTCACTGTGTTTGTCTATCTCTAAGGTTCGTTTGGGAAGTGGATTGACTTTTTGGTTTTTTTGGCTATTTTAGCCCAGGGCTAAAAAGCCTGATTTGGGAAGGGCTTTTGGTTTTTTTTGGCTTTTTTGACTTTTTTGTGAAAGAAAGAATGTAATGATTATGGGTTGGATGTGATGTTTTATCTCTTTGGGCTAAAAATCCTATTTTGTTTTTTGTGACTAAAATAGTCAAAAAAGGCCCCAAGTTGGGCTTCCCAAACGAAGCCTAAATGTGTATGGAGATTTTCATGCTTTTCATTGTTTCTCATATTCATTATGTGTCAGATTAACATATTTTAGGGATTCAAGTTGTTCAGATTTGTGTCAGTTGCGAGAATCTTCTGATGTCATTTTGTTTGTATGAGATCATATGTATTCTTATTATTTTAATTCATATTCATATACTTCTTGGCTTTCCCGTTGGCCTGTTGGCGTCATTACTTTGCTGCATAATACTTCTTTTTCATTGTTACGATTCATTTATTTGTAATCACTGGATTTGTACAGAAACCATTGATCATGTTTACTACTTTTAATCTTTGTACTTGTGATTATTTAAACTCGATTATTATCCTTTATTTGGAAATATGTAAAAAGGCGTGGAAAATCAGATAGAGCTTTGTGGTAGACTAGTACATCTTTTTGGCTAGTGCTAGAACCCCCCGCTTTTTTTTTTCATTGTTTATTGGCATTGTATCTGAAGTCTCAACTTGTTCTCAAACGACTAAATTCTTGAATGTTCTCAAATTCACAATTATCCAATTTTTCATGAAATTGAAGAAACCTATTCTGTTCAATATATTTCAGTATTTCTGATTGAAATTCATATACAGTAATACTCATGGTATGATGGCTCATTCTCCATCCTTTTTTATTTGTATCATGCACCACTGGTCTTAATGTAACCCTGAATGTGAATGTGATTGAAATTATTGTTGATTGATTCTTTGTTCTTTGAGGCTGGCTCATGCACTCCCAAGACATTTTGTGGCTGGTGCAACACAAGTGAGAGAATCCTTTTTTCTCTACAAATGTTGATTATTACTTAAGCTAATTTAGTGCTTGCTTTTTTGGTTTAGCTTGTTTGACCTTGGAAAATTCCTCAATCCTTGCCATGATGTTAAATTAACATGTGGAGTCCTTGTTTCTATGTTATTTTTCTAAACTGATGTTAATTTATCCTCAATGCAGATCTTTCATTTTTTTAATATGTTATGTTTTCAGGTCTCAATTCAGCCTTTTATTTTGCGGTCACAATTATATAGCAGCATAAAGGATAGAACACAAGTGGATAGGGAGCTAGAGGTATGTGATGATGTGACCATGACACTGAGGAATTTTTACTAATGACAAGCTAACTCTTATATGCTATGTTTTTTCCTCTGAAGTTTCAATAAGATGTACAAATACAATACCTAAAGAATGCAAAGTTGTCATAATCAGGTTAAAACACGTTTTCTGCAAGATATCTTATCTTATAGTCATGAGATTTATGCTTGATGAAACTTTTTTGAGGTTTTTATGACTTATTTGCTCAGAAAAAAATCACATGTTTACAAAGTCTCAAGTCAGATTCACTCCAAATCTCATTTTATGATTTTAATAACTTGGCATTAGAAATGCACATGAATGGAGAAGTGAAGAACAATGGGGTAGGATTTATGTAGGTGATTTAAATATTAGGATGAAGCTTCATTGAATTGTATATGTGCAGATGCCTGCTCTATACTTCTTTGCTGGAAATTTACTCAAGCTGATAATTTTTGCAAATTCCCCCCTACATTGATGGCAGTGTTTTGAAAGGCGAGCTTGGGCACTCGTCTGAGTATGATTCGAGGCCAGGCGAGGTGAGGCGCCATTGTAACGCCTTGACTGCTCAAGGCATGGTGTTTTGGATGAGAGACGAGGCTTAGTCGACAACCACTTTGATTTTATTTTTGTAATTTTTCATTTGGGCCGTTGAAAGAGATGTATCAAACATCTATCTATGTGTTTCTCACAGCCCTAATGACCCTAAATTCCTTCGACATATATTGGTGAAAGAAACAAAATGAAAGCTTCAACTCCTCTGTTCTTCTACAAAGCAAAGGAAAGCTTTGTGTTGCAGGCTCGCATTGTTGCCGCAAGTCAGCATTCGATTCTTCTTCTTTTTCTTCTCTCTACTTCTTCAACTCCTTCTCCTCTTCTTTTTCTTTTTCTTTTCTATTCTGTTTGCTTGATGTTGAAGATGATTTTTAGAGCCAAAAAATTGTATTTGTCTTTTATTAGATGACCTGTGTTTTTGTTGGATTTTGATATTTGGGATGCTGGATTGGTTAGACGTTTAATGTTTTTGATGAATATTTTAGTATTTATGATGTTTGATTTGTTGGATGTTTTGTGTCGTTTATGAATATTTAGTATTTGGAATGTTAGATGCATGATGGTTCTTAGAAATATTAAAATGTGTCTACTATTTATTTTTTTAAAAAAATGTCCTTTATGTTCACCTCGATTTGATGAAGCCCTCGCCTCGCCGCCTCATTTTTAGTCGTTAGGAGGCCTTGTCGCCTCGGTTCACTTTTCGCCTTAAAAAACATTGGTTGATGGTATAAATGGTTTTTATGTTTTCAACTCCTTTGCTGGATCATCATTTTGGTTTCATGGAGTTTTTATGATTGGCAGAAGCCATCTCATGATTTTTTTTTCTAATCCATTTTTGGGGCAGTCATTGAGGAGGGAGAGAGTTCTGCGTGTTTTCAAATTAAACACTGGACAAGATGATCATGCCATAATGTTTGTGGATGACTATTTGAATCAGGTTGGTTTGCTTTTGTTTTCCTTTGATGTCAATTGGGTTCAAATGGTCAATTGTATCTAAATTGAGGTCACCGTTTGTTGACAAAGTGTATCTTGAGTACGATTTCAATTTTAACATCATGAAGTTTGATCAATAAATATGCACTTGTGTAGGTTATTGTGGTTGTTTATTCAGATATTTTAGGTATTTAGGCTATCTGGTTTTTTATGATTGTGGTTTGCATAGTTTATTATGTAGGGTAAATTGCATGGACCTCCCCTGAGATTTGCAATACAAGCAAGGATACTCTCCCATGTTTTAAAAGTGAGCAAAATATTGTTTGTTATAGTAAATAAAGGGCAATTTGGTTTTTTTATAATGAAAAAAAAATAATAATTAAAGAGGCAAAGAATCATTGTGATGTAGGACAAGTAGGAATTACTTTTCCACAAGTAGTGAGCCCGGGTTAAGTATATTGGCAGCAACAACAATAGGTTTATAGGGCTGAATTTAGTGGGTTTTTGTGGCTGCAAAAGTACTTAGAAAATAGAAACTTAAGGGGGGTTTGAATAAGGGTAGGGTTTTGGGAATGGAAACACAAGTGTTTAGGGGCTGTTGGGTGGCTGTTCTAAGCACTGTGAACAGTGACGTGAATTGTTGGATAGAAGAAAAGAGAGAGAGAGAGAGAGGGAGAGAGAATGATGTGCTTCTCCCTCACAATGGATAGGCCAATCACACAAACACAATCGCAAATTTACATAATATTAACTCTTTTCTTAATCATTGAGATTACACATATATTTATAGGATAAAGACTCTTCTAGTTCTATAAGGACTATAACTCAAATTTAGAAGCTAAAAATATTTAGCAACTACTAATATTCTAGACCAATTATGACTTCTAATTCTACTTCAATTATAATAGGAAACTTTAACTTTTACCACTAAGATTATTTTAGACATAATAAAACCCATATATAAAAGCACTGTGAACAGTGACGTGAATTGTTGGATAGAAGAAAAGAGAGAGAGAGAGAGAGGGAGAGAGAATGATGTGCTTCTCCCTCACAATGGATAGGCCAATCACACAAACACAATCGCAAATTTACATAATATTAACTCTTTTCTTGAATCATTGAGATTACACATATATTTATAGGATAAAGACTCTTCTAGTTCTATAAGGACTATAACTCAAATTTAGAAGCTAAAAATATTTAACAACTACTAATATTCTGGACCAATTATGACTTCTAATTCTACTTCAATTATAATAGAAAACTTTAATGACTTTTAATTTTATTTCAATATCAAAACAGAAAATTTGGACTTTTGACCACTAAGATTACATAATAAAACCCATATATAATGACCCATTTAATAACTTGACACAATATAAAACCCATGGGTGACCCTACAACCCATGTCCAACAAAACTGAAGTTACCATAATACCCTTAATTACTAAAAACACTACCACAGACACTTTTCTTTGAACCAAAAAGGCTTCTTGACGATCATAGAACCCTTAGACTTTGTGTCGGGCTTCCATAGCCTATCATACTTGTTTAACCATGCAATAGATGTTGCATCACATTGTCTGAGAATCATGCTCCTCTCTCTCTCTCTCTCTCTCTCTCTGCCACTTATACTTTTTGGATCTCTCATTTTTTTTCTATATTCAACTCTTTTCTGGTAGTTGGTTCTGTCTCCCCATCAGATTTGCTCCCTCTTTTACACTTTCTCGCTCTACACCCACCAACAAAATTGCTGCCCTGTCCTTTTTTTATCCTAAATTGACACCGGCATTCGCTACATCCTTTGCCGCTGTCGCCCCTGAAGGTGCATGTTTCCTTGGGGGCACAAAACCCATTACTCCAACAGTTTTGTTAGCACCCTCTCTTTCTGACTAAGCACTTATTTCAGTATATACTGAAGCTATTTTGTTGTTAGAAAATGTGGATGTTGTTAGATAAGCTATGGAAAGTTGGAAACAGTTTAGGCTTAATAAACTTAAAATGATGATGACGTGTGTTGTAGAGCAATTGGTAGTCCAAAACGATGTGATCTATGTAGCGAGAATAAATTTCATTTTGACTTCACTCAAGGTCATTTTGGTCTTTTACTGTGTTTTAGGGTAAAAATGACAAAACATCAATTAGTTATTCCAATTAAGGGTAAAGGGGTCATTTAATTCTGTCAGTGCAGTCAACAAGTATCATTCACAAACGGCAGGGGAGGTCCTTGTTGCCTATTTTTGAAACAAGGGGAGTCTTTCTTCTTTTTTTTTTTTTTGGATAAATACAAGGGTTTTTGTATCGCAAAATCTCAAGGCAGGTCAGCACAATTTACCTTTATTATGTACTATATTTGTTCATATGCAGATGTGTTTTCTGTTCAAGGTAATGAAAGTTTATTAACAATATTTCTTGCATTTTAGGTTGAACATGTTGTGAAGAGAATGGAAGCAAAGAAGCATGATGATGTTGCAGTTTTTGAGTGGTTCAAAATGCATGTTATGCATTCCAAGCTAGAACCAAGTATTGGACACGAGGAGCTCGTGAGTAATTGAGATTTAAACTAACTTCATTTCATATATGCAACTTTTTTAAATCCATTTTTAGTTCATGCAGTAAATACTAAGATAGAATAAACTCCTGTGTATATACATTTTTGTATACACATTTGTATGTTTTTGTCACATTATCGATTGTGTTATTTTTTTACACCGCTAACATGGTCTGCTTTTTTTTTTCTTCTGACGGGGCAATGTTTTTGTGAGCTGATATAAGGGACCAAAGTTATCATAGTCAATATTTATTCATTCAACAGATGTTAAACAATATGTTATCTGAGTATGCCCCTTTCTGATATGGGCCTCATCATTATTTCCTTTAGTGCTGATAGTTTATAGCATTCCTATTGCTTATGTGGCTTATGTGCTGTGTCATTTGTCTTAAGGATGTATAAGTTTTCTGGAAAGTGGAAATAGTTACATATCATGTAGCATTAACACCATTCGTCATTTTAAATTTACTTATCCTTCTTTTTAGGTTCAATTTAGCAACTTTAAGTTACGATAGCTTTATATACTGTCAAGTAATAGAATGTAATTCTGCAGTGTGGTTAATCCTGGGTAACTGAAATTGAATGTAATTTGACAACAATGCGTAGTAGTTCTTGGAGGTGGGTAACTTGACTGATTATTGGCACAATGTAACAGGTATGGTTAATTCTAGGTAAATGAAAATGCACCTTGGGTTATTTACCATGAACCATCCTAAAAGAATCGTTTTTTGCGTACATTAAGAATGATGTTTTTTTGCGTAATCTATGCTTTTAATACACAGAAGTGTGGAGCATTTGATAACCTTCAAGAGTGGGTCAATTAGGAGTCAAATAGATTACTTTCTAGTAAGAAAATGGGACCGTCTACAATGCAGCGACTGTAAGGTGATTCTTGGAGAGAGCTTGACGTCTCAATATAGTGTTTTGGTACTAAATTTATGCTTTAAAGGGTGATACCAAGCTCAGAAAGATAGTGGGCGTCGCATGACTAGATGATGGGACCTAAAAGGGGATAAACTAGACACATTTAAGAATAGAATGGATAAAGAAGGTACTTGGGACTTGAAAGATGATGTTAACACTAAGTGGAACTCGATGGCCAATTGTATGAAGATAATCTCAAGGGAAGTTTTTGGAGAGCCGAAAGGAAAAGGACCCAACTTTAGGGAAATTTGGTGGTGGAGGGAGGAGGTCCAAACGGTAATAAAGACGAAAAAAAAGAGAGATTTAAAAAATAGCGGAGTGATAGAACTGAGAAAAACCTTAAGCATTACAAATTGGCCAATAAGGAGGTCAAAAAAATAGTGAGAGAGATTAAGTTCAAAGCCTATGATGACTTATATACTAGACTAGATACAAACTTACTAAGATAAGAGAGAGGAAAATATGAGATTTTAATTAGGTTAAGTGTATGAAGGGTAAGGACTCTAAGGTGTTGGTGAAGGATGAAGAGATTAATGAGAGGTGGAAGAACTATTTTGAGAAGTTGTTATATGAGGAACAAGGATGTAGGTCAAAAGGGGAGGGAGTAGGCAATAATAAGGAAAACCAAGACTATAGGTTCTATCATAGGATTAGGGACTTTAAAGTAGAGTTTGCACTTAAGAAGATGAAATTGAATAAGGCTTTATGACCCGATAATATACCTATTGAAGCGTGCAAATGTTTGGGTAAGAAGGGGGGTTGTTTGGTTGACTAGGTTATTTAGAAAGATTTTGTTGGCTAGGAAAATGCTAGAGGAGTGGAGAAAGAGTATTTTAGTGTCAATATATAAGAATAAAGGAGATGTCTAGAATTGCAATAATTATAGAGGAATCAAGTTAATATGTCATGCAATGAAAGTGTGGGAGAGAGTGATGAAACGTTGATTACGAGATATAATAGATGCGTCAGAGAATTAATTTGGGTTTATGCCTGGTAGGTCAATAATGGAAGTGATCTATCTTTTGAGGAGAGTAATAAAAAAATATAAAGAAAAGAAAGAGACATTCATGTGGTTTTTATCGATCTTGAGAAAACATATGATAGAGTGTTTCATGATATAATCTGGTGGGTGTTTGAGAAGAAAGGGATGACAAAAAATTACATTGATGTGATTAGGGATATGTACAAATGTGTGGTGACCACTATTAGATTGCCTGTAGGAGAGAGGAGTAAATTTTCAATTACTGTAGGGTTATACTAAGGATCAACTTTAAGTCTTTAACTTTTGCTTTACTTATGGATGAGTTGACGCGCAATACTCAGGATGATATGCCATGGTGTATGCTTTTTGTAGATGATATCGTGTTAGTGGATGAGACTAGAGAAGGAGTTAACACTAAGTTGGAGATTTGGAGAAAAGTACTTGTATCTGAAGGATTTAGGATAAGCAAAACTAAGACAGAGTATATGGAATGTAATTTTAGTAACAGTCACAATGGAAGCAGAGGAGAAGTGAAGATTGAGAATTAAAAACTACCTAAGAGTGACCATGTTCGTTATGTAGGATCGATTATCACAATGACTGGGGAGGTTGGAGTGAATGTGATCCACAAAATTAAGGCAGGGTGGCTTAAGTGGAGAAGTGTGTCCGGAATACTGTGCGATAAACGAGTACCCATTAGACTAAAAGGAAAGTTCTATAGAACGGCTATTAGACTAACGATGTTGTATGGGACGGAATATTGGGCAACTAAGAAATAACATGTAGATAAGATGAGCGTTGCTGAGATAAGCATGCTAAGGTGGATGTGTGGCGAGACTAGAAAAGACAGAGTTAGGAATAATTATATTCGAGAATGGGCAAGAGTAATACTGACAGAAGATAAGTTGAGAGAGAATAGATTGAGATAGTTTTGTCATATACAACGGAGACCAACAGAGGCAGTAGTGAAGAGAGAGGATACAGTGACAGTAGTGTTAGGGGAAGGGATAGACCTAGATTGACGTGGACTAGTATAGTAAATAGAGATATGAATCTCCTTAATTTGACTAATGAAATGGCCTTAGATAGAGTTTAGTGGATAAGAAGGATTCATGCAGCTGATCCCATTTGATGGGACTTAAGGCTAGGCTTGGTTTGGTTTGGTTTGGTTTGGTTTGTTTTGTTCCTTAAAAGAATTTTCTTTTTAGCAAGTGCCTTCTTGATTGTTGCCATCCTATCCTGCAACTGTCCAAGCATTGCCATGCAATTTTGTTTGGACCTTTGTCACCTAAATTGTGTGCACTGTGCAGAGACTTGGAGCTTGAAATATTTTGCACTCTGCACTGCACTTACATATGCAGAATTTTTATTGGGCTGTTGAATCTGTTGATCTGGTTTATCAAGTTTATGTTGATAAGTTTTAATGTAATGCTTTGTGTTCTCTCTGCGTGGTAGTGTGCAAGTGGATGTATCTTGTTTATTGAAAGGTAGTTGTACTTTGCTTTAATCGCTGAATTTACATAATTACGGTTGCTGAACAGAAAGCTACTTTTAATTCTTTATGTGGTGTTGAAATTATATCGAGCATCCATTTCATGTGCTTCATAGTCTGCAGCTTTGATTTATTATTTTACTAATTTATTCATAGTTTGGCTACTCTTTGCTTCATTTTAGTGTTCACTTCTATCATCAGGGGGAAAGGTGAAAGATCAACACATCTCTCTCTTAATCAATGCTGGCCTCCTCGTAAGTATACTTGCAAAGTTGCAATTCTTATTTGTGAATTGAACAAGTGCAGTTGTTTGAATCATGTACGTAGTGCTGATGTGTATCTTGGCTGTTAATGTGTTGGAATCTAGTACCGTTACCAAGTGTTGGCATACGCCATTCCTAGTCGCAGCAATGTGGCAATACAAGTGCCTACAACATGGCTGTCCAAATTCCCCATAGGTTTTTTTTCAATTGCTAGATTGGAACACCTGAGAGCAGCTGCATTTAACATGTATGTAGGTAGGCTAGGCTCACTCCAAGCCAGTAGCAAGGTGTATGTGCCATAACATATGAATGCCTGCATGAGGTCAGGATGTAGGGAGATTTAAGAGCTGTTGGCCCTGCCCTGAAAAGGGGCTTGACGGAAGAGATCTTGTCTTGGATGGCCTGGAGAGAAGAGAAACATTTTATTTTGGGAACATTTGTTTCAATCAATAAATACTAGAAATTGATTCGATGTTCAGACACACTGGCATAGCTGTACCAGCTGGACCTGCAGGTTTGCAGCTTTAGGTGTTTATTGGCAGGCCTTGGGTCCAGACCTAACTGGCTGCTGTATCTTTTTGACCCTTATATGAGTATGATATTGTTAAGATTCTGTTCCCTCGAGTACTTCGAGCCGGTGAGCATGCCCCCTAGGTCTTGCCATACCTGCAGGCTGCACCTCTTTTCAGGCTCTCTTTACCACCCAAGTCTGAGCTTCTTGGATGCCACTCCATCTTATATATATTGCCTTCTTCAACCCTTTACAAGTATATTGATTAAACTAAGGGCAAATTTCACTTTACCCCTTTTTTGATTTGACCCATGTGCATGTAACCCCTGTTCATTTGGAAATAAACACGTTCTTTAATGGTTGGTGGACTAAAGTGCATCGTCAGGCCCATTAACGGCTTGAGCAAAAAGACTAAAATACCCTCGTATACAAGTAACCTCATTGTGCAAACCACAGATTTTTTTTGTCATTTTTTTGGGTGGCAAAATTCATTTTAACCCCCTGTGATTTCTTTACTTCATGTGCGATTTATCCCCTGACATTTGGAATGATTATAACCCTCTTATGTCTTGATCTTGTTTCACACTTGCTGTTAACTTGGAAAGAATGTGTGACAGTGCACTTCAATCCACAAACCACAAGGAGGTTACTTGATTATTTCTAAATGATTGGTGGTAATCCACACGTGGGCCAAACCATGAGGGGGTAAAGTGAAATTTGCTCTAGAAATATATCATGACACTTGGTTTGAGCTCTTGTTCATTGTAGTGCCAACATGTAGATGTGATTAAAAATGTTCTTTCTCATGATTGTGTTGGTAATGTATGGAAACCTGAAACTACTTATATTCAGTATTCATATATTAACTTTGGGCCAACCTTCTTGTGGACCACTAAATTTTTGGGTTATCTGGTAAATCTTTTGCAAGCAAGATACAATATTACAGAATCTTGCCTATACACCTGCCACATATTGCGATTTGATGTTGTGGAAGGCCTTATTATGAGATCTGAAAATGCCAACCCAATGTGATGAAATGTTTTTATTGTTATAGGGTTAATAACGACCCATAAACCTCTGCCTTTGGGCACGTGCATGCATATTACTCATCTTGCATGATTATATTCTACTATATGTGACCAAGAATAATTGGTTGAATTGCGTTGCGTCTCCAACATGGAAAAACACTATTAAACTTGATCTTCCTTTTGAAAATTTGCACCAATAATATTGCTTTTATAAATTAACCACTTCAGTGCTCTTCAGCACTGTCAATGTTTTGTGCCAGTCTGATATTTTCTGTTCACATATCATATTTTTGATGGTTCACTGTTGCTACCATTCTTTCTAATGCTCCTGTTTGCTTTTTAGACTCGACAACTTATTGATCCAAACATCTACTGGTTTGCAATTCCAAACATCGGTTCGGTACTCAAGGGCCTCTCTCAGGTAAATACTTGCTTGTGGATTTTTTATGCCTTACAAGGACCTATACACCGATGCCTCTGTCCTGTACAGATAGAAAGAGATTAATATGATTACCTTGTGCAAAGCAAATTGGCAGGAAACTCTTGCTACTAAATATTTTGATGTAAATGGTGAACATTATTTTTTTGGATCTGATACATAGTTCAAAGTAAATTGCGCTCAAATAGTCATACATCATCAGGTTGAGAAATGGCCAGTTATCTTCTTCCCACAAGAAATGGCTAGTTATTTTTCGTTAACCGAAGTTTATGCCTTTTTTGAGTGGTAATGGTCATTTTATTTGGGGACTATTATCTTTTTTTCTGTAAGTTGGGGGCTGGATTTCTGTTTTCAACTGCTTAATCTTTGTGGTGTTGTCAAATATTGGATTTAAACAATAAGCCAAGATGCTTCGACTTGAATGTAACGGAGTTTCCAATAGCTTAAATACTATTTGTTGACGGTCAATTTTACCATTGTTTGGGCATTTCAATGTGTCAAGGAGAAAAGCTTTTTAAAAGCATGGCAATGGGCATTGCTTTCTTGAGAATTTCGAAATGTCATGGGAATAATATTGCCCCATGTAATGATAGACTGTTTTTGTTGAAAATTAAAGAAAAAAATTATTAGGAAAGAAAAATGAAAAATAGAGCAGTTTTCCTAAGTAGTTCATGCTGGCCTGTCTGAATGTAGAATATGTTCTGTTTGATTTATTTTAACAAAAAAGGTAACAAGAAAAAATGGAAAATAAAAGGAGTTTCCGAAGCTCACTAGTTGCCGCCCCCTACTTGCTCATTTGCAAAATTACTATCTAAAACTAGAATTAAGAAATGTTTTTGAGAGTTATGGAACATTTTCAAATTTGAATCTTGTTTCTCAAAAACATTTGTAAAACATTTACATTTAACTTATTATTTTAGGGACGAAAGGAACTCTTGTCTTTTCTCAACCGTAGGAAATACAAAGAGATGATGTTGGCTCTTTTGGAGAAGAAACGCCTCCGACTGTCTCCACTGGATATGAGATTCCATCTTCGTGATCTGATTGGTTCAGGTCACCTCAAAACTCTCCAGACACCAAGTGGCGTAGTTGTTCGGGTTGTAAAGGATTAAACCCAGATTGGACGCTATCACCAGTTGATCTCACCAAGTATATTACTATTCTTTATTACTTGTCAAATGGACAAAGATGTTTAGGTCTGTTGCTTTGGAATGTAATTTTTAGCATATACATAATATAATTCCTTTTTCAGGTCACAAGACTGAAGTTGACATTGTGACATTGTACGCATTGGAATGAATCAGTGCAAGATGATGTGAGTTCTCTACCACAAAATTTTGATTTATTTATTCATTTGTTAACTTGTTAGATGATTTATGTTATGATCTTTCCTTGATCAATTGAAATTCTGTCATCAGAATTTATAAATTTATCTGTAGATTAATGAACCTGTATATTTTTCATCCTTTCTGGTTGATCACTCTTCTACTTCAGTAGCTGTATGTGAACTTCAAACTTCAGGTTGAAGTTGGTATACTAAATCCTAGAGCAGTCTGGTCTGGACTAATAAAAGCCGGAAGGGTTTTAATGTATGTCAAAATTTTTTTTAGGTCAGCTGAAATTGAAAGACAAATTTAAAAGAAAAAGAAAAAAGCGTAAGGGGAAAAATTATGTTGCAAATATTATAGAGGAAATAGTTTAACTATTTTTGAGTCTGTTGATTCTATAATGACTGTTGGAAACAAGATCCTTCTCTAGATCCCTTGATTAACGAAGAATATTGGAATAAAAGCTTAGCAATAGTTGATTTGAAACGAATGCCCAAGATTGGAAGAAGAGTATAAACTCGAAATTTTATTAATTCTAAAAAACTAATCAACCCTAAGACTTACTATAATTAGTTATAATGAAAAGCAGACCTAACGATAATGGGAAACAACCGAAATTTGTAGTCTTAACTAGCTAGACAGAAATAAAGATATCCAACGAAAATTACAAAAAATGTGAATATTGAATCAGAATTAAGAAACTACTAATTTAGGCTACCACAATGAAGAAGATTTGACAGAATCGAATTCTAACTTCTATACTAAGAGTAATTGAAGTTGCAAAACTTTCCAAAAAAGGCAAAATCTCGAAGTTGACTATTTGAAACGATGCACGCCTGAAATCTGGCAGAATGGCATTTCCCATCAACTCACCAAATTTAACGCGATTCTGAGCGTGTGCCATTGATTGTCACTAGTGCCTTTTGCCTTGTGTTTGTTCCTTTGGTCAAAAAATTGTATGGCAAAGCACACTGCATCAAAAAAGCACCTCTGCTTGTTTGGACTTAATTCCTTCTATATCCTCGACGACTGGCTTCATCACAAGTCTAAAGTACTGACCAAAACTGGGAACTGCTATGGGAGCAAAATGGAGACAACACACAATTGTGAGAAGTTAGCAAAATGAAATATACTTTTATTCAAAGGAAAAGGTAGCCTGAATCTAGAAATGAGAATTGGTACATTGGGAGATGTTACATAGGCAGTACGAAGGGATGGTGACAATTAGACTTACAAGGTGTCTATATATACCTGAAATTATGTTGGGCGAACACCTCCACCTTAACACGCAATAACACCCAGTGGGGTAGGTGACAGTTTGTGAAAATCAGTAGTAATTTTGTTTAATAACATTGCATTCCCTTCTCTCTCTGTGTCTCAAACTATTGTGGCACATTAATTATTTGAATGCAAATGATCATTGTCCTTGAGCTTGATCATAGGCAATAATACTGAAATCTCATATCAGAAAAGGCAAATTTCTCAGTTGAAGTACCGACATTTTCCATTCAGAATTTAGAAAGCTCCTCCATACTTGATGGCACTACTCACATGACTCCTCTCTTCCACGCCTACTGCCCCTCTCTTTCTGGCTTCAATTTCCCCATTTGGGCTTCTCTTTCTTTGCTGGATGATACTGTGTTGCATGACACAAACAGTTTGGGTATTTTTCTGATCTCACAAACTTGCTACTTCCTTGTCATATGTATTAGTGATTCAAATTCTTCTCAGGATTTTATATGCATCTCACACAATGAAGCATTGATACTTCAAAAAGGGTGACATATCCACATCGGATACTAATACTCCTTGGATACTTATGGATACGTATCGGATGCATATTAATTAATTTTTTTATTAATTTTGGAGTATCGGATACTTAATTTTGAAGTATCGGATACTCCACGTCGCGTATTACTTTTTTTACGAAATTAGAATTGTAGCATATCTCAAATAACATTGTACTATAATATAATTGTAAGGATAAATACGAGAATATTTTTTCTAGTACTTTTTTTAGTTCTTTGATAAGAAGAACATATTGAGTTAAAGTAATAGAATTCGTTAAATTGATGTATCTTTATTGTTCATGCATGTCCCTTATAATTACATTGAAATTAAGGATTAACAAGAGAATATAACAATTGTACAATTAAATATCAATAAATAAATAAGTAAACTTGAATACAATATTTTTGTTAGTGTCAAAGGAAAAACACAAGGACAAGGTATGGATGGTTCTATTAATAAAATATAAACATTATTAGATTTGATATTGAAATGAAATATGTACAAAACCTATTGAAAATTTTAAAAGTAAACAATTAATATTTAATTTTTAAAGGTTAGTATTTTGCACTATAAAATTATAGTGTGGTTTCTCAACATTTATCTTATGTATAACTCACTATTAATAATTTTTTTTTAAAAAATTATTTTTTTACAAATGTATCCTAACTATACTATTTTATTTTTTAGATTTTGTTGCATCGTCGTATCCGTATCACATCCATATCTCATATTTGTATTCATGCTTCCTAGATCTTGCATGTGGATTTTTGTGAAGTATCTGCTGAAACTCGATTGTTACTAATCATCCAAAGTAGTGTATCTGTACAATTCATAATGTGACGTTTCTAAAAATGTAAAAGTTGCCTTAGGTGGTGATAGTGGTAACTGAATCGAACCTCAGTTTCTCACTGTATAGGAGCTGATGTGATGTAGTCTTTTTCATCTGCTTCATGTTGCATCTGTATTTTAACAATCCGGGCTGGTTTACAAAGCTAGCAATTGGAATCTGGACCCATCAATAAACTGATTTTTCTGCCACCCTTCCCCGCCTACACACCCACAAACGTTTTCCACATTGAATTCTCTTATTCGTATCTCCATTGTCTCCACCGTTTGCTATCGTGGTATCACTTGTATCTCTCTCATCACTACCATCATCCTAGATCTTCCATTGATAACAACTACCGTCACTGTATGCCTCCATCATCTCATATTTGATCGGCGACCTTAGATCTGTGCTTTCTTTTAGATTCAAGTGCTCTCTCTCACTTTTTGGTATGATGTTCATTTCAACATTGACTTAAAAGACAATTTTTACATAGTTTAATTCACTAAGTTTTTATTGTTTCGAACGTTGTAATTTTACTTTGTAGAGTGAGATTTTCAAAATTGATAGGTAAAAGTGTAAACTTGTGAGAGTGATTAATTTTGGGTCAGGATGAGGCTTGCCGGAGGATGAGGACTGGGTGGAGGAGGAAGAGAGCTCAGGGAGGTATGCCAGAAGGGGGAGGAGGGCTGGGGTGGTCACTAGAGGTGGAGGTGGGGTCCAAAAGGTTAGAATTAAGATTATGATATGTGCTCAAGGGAAAGGAAAGAGAATAATTTTTGTGTGTACTGGTTCAAAGAAATGGGGGGTTTAAAGAAATAATGTTGGGGCAGTAAAAATTTTTGACTAGTATTTTTACCCAACAAAAAAGAAAAACTTGAGATTGAAGGGCAACTTAGCAAAACCCCTTTATAATATTATCCACCAGGAAGGATGGAGGCAGGAAATCCTTTGATGGAATATTGAATAAAGTTATGTGGGAATATGGTTGTGACACCTTGCAAGGATGAGCAATAGTAGTAGTAGTAGTAGTAGGATTAAAAAGGAGATCTTTGTGATCATCAATGGAAGTCATATCTTGTCCTTTTATATTTAAAATTAAATTAAACATACTAAACTCACTCTAAACTCTTATGATATTTTATTCTTATAGGAATAGTAGATTTTGAGGTTCCTTCTTCATGGTGGAAACAAATTTGAGATGTGTCACTCTCAATGAGGACGAATCCAAAGCTAGTGTTGTTGTCTGCCTCGTCATCTCACGTGTAATTCTATTAATCTCAGATCTTCCCATTGATTTGTTAATGAAAAATAAAAAAGTCAAAAAAATTATCATACAAGAAAGTATAATGCTATTTTTATCACTATTGCTATTATTGTAGAACTTTATACTTTATTCCATAATTAGATTTGCCAAATCAGTGATGTATACTTGTTGCATCCTATTATTATTATTTTATTTATTTATTTTTTGGTTGTGCATGACATGACAATGATTGTACAAGTGCTATACCCACATATTTAATTGAAGAGGAAATTCTATTTGTTCAACATGATCTCTTTGGTTGTGTTGTTGATTTATTCATTTTTTATTATGGTTTTAAAAAAAATAATAATGGAAGTTTGAAAACACCTAGTATTCTATCATTATTTTTTAAAAAATTTGAAAATAGATTTTTATTGTTTTTTGAAATTGGATTGTTTTTGGAGATATTACAGATAAATGGAAAGATAGAGAATTAATTTCACTTTTAATGGAATGGAAAGTCCCAAATTGCAAGAGTTATGGAAATATTTAAAATAAATAATAATGAGATGAAAAGTAGAAAAATAATTGTAATGGGATGAATTTATACCTTTTTTACCCTTTTCGCTCCTCTCTCCGTTTCCTTTCTCTTCCTTCCCTTTGGCACCATTGTTCACGGCCACTTTGGTTGTTTTTTTTTGATCAGCAAAAAGAAACTTTATTGATGAAATGAACAAGTACAAGGTACAAGATAAAATACATCAATAAAGGAAAGAGACGTGCAAAAGCATCACAGTGAGCTAAATGATCCCAACTAGGTTGGCACCACAGAGCTCACCCTATCACCTGCTAGCACCCCAAAGTTGGTGAGAGACCAACGGAAAAAAGAAGAAAGAAGAACCAACCAACCACAGCTATCACCTAAGCACATCTGCCAAGCACTGTAGCAGATGGAGAACTACTACTAGCCCAACACCCCAAAGTTAGTCAAATAGCAGCAAAGCATCCAGAGTTAAAAATGTATAGCAGCAAAACAGAACTCCCATAGCAGCTGGGACAGAACACATAGCAGCAGATGGGAGAGGATGGAGAAGCCACCTTTCAGACCACAGCAACTCAGATCGCAGCCAGAAGAGGATAGAGCACAGAGATGAAGTTGCAGCCAGCCAGTGCAGATTCGCCCCGAAAATTGGTGAGGGACCAATCAAACAAGACCAACAGGAGAAATCAACCAACACAAGCACTACCACTTCAGACCATGACCATGTACCAGCCCAACATAGCAGCCTCTGCAGCCAACACCTTGCCTTGAAGCAGCCACAGCAGTGCATGTCCTCATATCAGCAGAGCTTGAACAATGTGACACTAGCAGCAGCCTTAGCTTCTAGCTACAGCCCAGCTTCCACCTTCCACCACAATCACCAAACCCAAACCACAAAACAGCCGAACCAGAAACCAGCCAAAGCCAAAAACCAAAGCAAAACACAGACTGAAGGAGATCTGCAACTCTGCTGGAGCACCCAGACAGCAAGGACTGAAGGAAAAGCACTGCCTTCATAGACCAGAGCCAATCTGGCCTCTGCACTGCCTTGACAGACCAGAAACTGGAACCTCCCAATTTGCCGATGACACTATTCTTTTTTGCGATGCTGAGTGGGAGGAGATAGTAAATGTTAAGAGGATTCTTAGATGCTTTGAGATTATGTCAGGCCTTAAAATAAATTTCCACAAAAGTGTGGTGTGCGGAGTTGGGATTAGTGGAGAGTTGGCTCAAGCTTTTGCCTCTAAACTTTATTGTCTAAGTAAGCAGCTTCCTCTTCTGTACCTGGGGTTACCCCTAGGTGCTAACCCAAGAAGAAAGAAGACTTGGCAACCTGTGGTGGAGAAGGTAAAAGCTAAATTAGCCTTATGGAAGAGAAGGACGCTTTCATTTGCTGGTCGTCTAACCCTGATCAAATCTGTCCTTGATAGTCTGCCTGGTTACTACCTCTCTCTCTTCAAATTACCTAAAGGGGTAGCTAAGGAGATTGATAAGTGGAGGGCAACATTTTTATGGGGCAGTTCAGAAATCCGGAGGAAGATTCATTTGGTAAACTGGAAGTTAGTAACTCTTAGTAAAGAGCAAGGAGGGTTAGGCATTAGAAGGGTGAGGGACTTTAATGATTTTTTGCTAACTAAGTGGTGGTGGAGATATGGGGTGGAAGATGAATCTCTGTGGAAGAAAGTAATTTTGAACAAGTATGGGGGAGTGGGTGGTAGATGGTTACCAGTGTTGGAAGGGACTGGCAAAGAATCTCTTGTTTGGAGTGATATTCTGAGTGTGTTAAGGGAGAATGCTGAGCGCTTCGAATTTTTTACGTCTAATTGCAAGCTTGTGATAGGAAATGGATGTAGGATTCACTTTTGGCATGATAAGTGGCTGTCGAATGTTCAACTGAAGGTAGAGTTCCCAAGGCTGTTTAGATTATCTGTGGATAAAGAAGGGAATCTGAGCTCTTTCATGCAGAGGAGGGATATCTCAGGAAATTGGAGGCTTCTGTTTACAAGATCTCTTCTTGCGTGGGAGGAAGAGGAGGTTCAAAGGTTGCAAGACTTGACAGGAGCTGCTCCCAGGATTAAATGAGGAGCCTGCCAGAAACTCAGTCAGATGAACTGCATACTATCAGATACAGATCATTGTCAGCTGTGGGAGGACTA